GGAAACGACATTTTATCCTCGTGCCTTCAGTGGTACAGACTTGGCCTGCCTAAAAAAGCAATAACCCCAATCGCTGCCTTACAAACGTGCTGTAAATTACTGGACCGAAGTCGAAGGAAAGCGTGCTCTCAGGGTTATGAAGGTGGAGGATGGTCCCATCAACGCTTTCTATTATGAAAGGATCTAAGAAACAGGTCATAAAGGAGATTAGCCATGTTTTGTTTCATGTTAATGATGTATTGTAGTATGAGGACCTGGAGCACAGAGCATGATCTTCAGGGACCACACTACTTGGCAGATTTTTGGTTTATATAAGTTAAGGAAATATTTAGTGGGAGATTTGGGGTTATATATTATATGCTCTGATTATCTAGATGAGAAAGTAGAAGAATGCACTGGGTGCCTAGGAAGGATATGTTTAGCTTGTTAGGGAGCTTTCCAGCATTGCATTGGGACATGCTTGCCAGTAATTAAAGGGGTTTAAAGTTTTTAATCAATATAATAGTAACATCATGAGGATTTACCGTAAGGCCGCTAACCCTTATTCCTTTACCAAAGAGAATCAATGATGGTTCATAGGTAACATACTCAGATATTTAAGATATATAGGAATATACGTGACCATGTGGGTCATACCCTATGATAGTCATAGAGGGTACTGTCCAACACAGAATGTGTAAAGCGGGACTCTGCCTTGCATTTGGATTGATCTTCTGCATCCCATTTACTATACCTACCATCGTCCTATACACACTAAGGTCTGAGGTCGTCCAACTACCGTCCTGGGTCGAGGCGCGGCAAGGGAGTTTATACGGGCTTAGCATGGGATGTCTTGTTTGCGCAATCATCGCTACGATCGTGGGCAGTGGTGCGCCGTTTGCTCTTTGAGACTGTACAGAATTCTGGCAGCAAAGGACATCTAGACAGAAAGATTAGCAAGGCAGATGATATAATATGAATGTTCATAGGAGTTTATAGAAATTTACGGACAACACCGTTGGGATTGGACTACCTGTCCAAAAATAGACATAGGTACCCTAGGTATCTACATTATTAGGTAGGTCCGTTCCAAGATTTCCAAGCAAGTATTTATTGCCTTCCTTCGGCGCACGGCGTTAGTCACGCCGGCGAAGGTAGTATCCCTTCTAGGAATGTCGACCTCGGGCCCGATAAGTATTCAGTCAAGTAAGGGATACATAGCATGGCCAAAAAGGAACGGAAGAGATCTACAACTTACCTAAATAAATATTCTTGTAAATACCGCAAATATTTAAGAATCACCAAGGCTTCTTCTGGACCCATTTTAATTACATTCGAATTACCTACGGCATAGCTATTCATAATACCAATTATCATACCTAGGTACAATGAATCATATATCAATTCCTGCCGAATGTCCTTCGCCTCCACTGACCCCTCCAAACTCGCCAATAATTCAAGGGTCGATAACCACCGATGACTATGTACCAGGTTGTCTTGAAAGAGAGACGGCTGGCCTGGGCCACATTATTTTCCTATCTAAACAATTAGCGGCTGCACCTTCACAAACAACACCGGACCATAAAAGCAGGCTTTATAAACTTATGCTCCGTTTATTTCTGGTTATCAGCTTAGACCATCCGTCACCACTTGCAGGTTTAGATGGGCCAGTTGAACTGGCAACGCTAGTATCTCCTAACACCAACCCGAGAGCTGACTAGTCGCGGCCATCAGTTAGCCTAGAATCAAAGGGATAAGGTTTGGACATGATTGGAAATGAAGATAGTTCGAAATGAAATGGATGGGATGGGATAATGGCCGGAATCAAGGTTGCCGTGCAAAGAGGCTTACCGTGCCGTATGTAGCTGAAAATGTATGCCTCCTGTCGTTTAAAGACCATAATAATTCGGTGTGAGCGTTGCGAAGGCGTAGATGATGGAAGATGGGGGGATGCTTTGGGAGGATAACTCGGTACATAGTTGCATACTTATAATCGTAGCAAATAAATGTGTACTCTTTGGGAGTTGTCTGGACTGTGTGACAGTGTGTGAATACCTTCAGGGGTGCAATTTTTGTCGTGCTCCTAGCTACCTTTGTGAAGGGAGCATAAGCCAAGGACATTTTGTCACATACGTGAGCACACTATCAATTGACCCATCACAGATATGTTAATAAGCCGTGCGTGTTTGCTTTTTCCCCTACTGTTTCCTTCGGTCTTCCTGTTATTTTCCCTTTTTCTTCCTACATTTTTCAATTATAAGTGACACAGTTCGCTCGTATTGCATAAACGGGCTAGAGACACCCATATTTCAAATAGTTATCATGCTTCTTGTCCGGCCGGCGTTGTTAGGTGGCTGAAAATCCACCTCCTCAACGGAAATATTATCATCGGCCATATTCTAAACCAGTTTACAGATTCTACCATTCATTTCAGCATTCGTGCAAACTATTATACTATAAGCGACTTAAGGACAAGCAGGTGGCATTTTATAAGACATATGGGATATCACAGTCCGTCCCTTCTGCTGTTGTAGCTCTTGGTGAAGGACGCGCTTCTACCAACAACCTATCGTACATTGATGATGAGTTCATTCACTGCAACAACACTAAAGTAGAAATATCTACGTGTATATGCTAGGAACGGTATGGGCGACGATGATTACTGTGGCTATTTAATGGAGCTAACTACCTACCTAGCTTAGGCCGGGTAGGTACCTAGGTAGTTAACGTATCAGTTTGTATTGTATATACACATGCTATAAGAGATCCTGGCTAGCTGTCTAATACGGGCCGTCAATAACTAGGCTAACTTCAGCGCAGTATGCCTGCGAAAGATATAATAGTCATGACAATTATAAATATACACCTATGTATAATGATCAAAGGCTGTGGAGGCTGGAAGCTCTCAGGTGATTGCTGATACACATGAAATAGATCGAGAATTGCAAGTAGAGACTCGAGAGCAAATGCCACGCATAGGATAATGGCTTGGGGGGTAAATGCATACATGGCTTGAAGGTACAATGGATTGAGAGACTTGTATTATAGAATATTTGACCGGCTCTTTCACAATTTATACCCGTGTACGTGCCCGTATCGTAAGGGCCCTTGTTCTCAGGGGAAAATATCCTGGTTAAATTTCATGCTCCAGGGTCAGCGCTATTTTTACCATCACTTAAAAAACATAGCTGCATCGGCCCATAGCATGCCAACTATAGCCCCGGGAAGGCTGGAAATAGCTTCATACGGTTTATACTAACAAGGGCTACTACTGAATGGAAGAAAAAATAGAAAAGGGGTATAGGTACCAGCTAGTTATGGTGCTTGAAGTATGCGAGATGAAGTGCGGTGCCTCGCTCCTAAAGTTCTGCCTTGAAAAATCCTAAGCACTCAGACCCAAATCTAGTCCCTATATCTTATATCTAAATACTAAAGTAGCTATACCTTTACATTTCAACAAAGCTTCTTCCAATATTATACCTAGGCCCGGTAAAGTCAGATTATAATAAAGTTACAAAATAATATATAAGCAGGAGCAATATGTACTCGGCCTAATTTATTCCATCCCTTTTTGTCATATATCTTGCTTAGTGATCGTGGTTTAAGCCTTGTCACATGGGTCTAGTGTCCGTAGATTGTAAGAGGCGAAGTATCTTGGTCAATTGGTACTATTTTAGGAGACCTTCCTATGCTTCCTAGTTCTGAAAGAACTACCCATAATATTTTATACGTTAAATATTACGTCCGACAATGTAGCCTCCTCAGTACCTTTACCTAGGTAGTTATACCAATCCCAACTCATTAAAGGATCAACGATCAACGACCTTTCCATGGGTTGCAGCGACCTACATGTGGTTATTGGTTCATATTGGTCATTGGTAAGCTCTTCAGGGAGTTCGCGTTGGTGTGATGGCGAACTGACTGATTAGGTGGGTATATGTGTGCCCAGGTGTTATGGTAAATGAGGCAGCCAAAATGTCGAATGACCCTCTCTTCCCTATTCATACAGATAGGGACTGCGCTCGTTTCAAACACCAACTTCCCTTCGGATGACGACTGCTTGGTCTCGAAGGTTATCGGGCCTTTCCATGAGAATTCCCCTTCCTCAATGTCCCGCTTTCCATGACCTAGACATAAGTGTGTTAACGTGAAATTGAACCGATTGGAATGTCATAATCTGTCTTGGGTTCTGCCGTTTGTGTTATAACAGTTCCTCAACTTAATTGTCATGGTTTTATATGTCTATATTATCTGCACTGAACTACTTCGGGAGAATCGCCATCAAGCTTGCCGCTTGCGGTAGTCATCGGATGTTCAAATTTAGGACTCAGTGGAGTTTATCACATTGTGATTGATTGATGGGGTCATGAACCAAAGGCCTAAAGGGGTGTCCGCGTAAGGTTGATTATCCATACTTAATCTTCATAGACCTGAAAAATCGCCCGTAGGAATTGTCAAGAGAAGGAGAGGGGGAGTGGGGGCGAGTCGACAACCTTTTCCAGGTTTTCAAATTCTATATAGTTTCCCCGTTATAGTACGTAACTACATGACTCACATAAGCATAACGTATTTGCCGGGAGCGACTGAAGTCCCCAATCTATCGTGATGGCTTCATCGCAAAATATATCCCTCTTAGCTTTTACGATTGCCCTCCATTTACCAGATATTTTCTCTAGTACAAGGTCCGCAGACGGTCGGCAAGAATGGTTGATTAACCTGAATAGGTTGCCCTCTTCGCGCGTGTACAGATGTATAGCCTTCATAGTGTATGGGATTGTGATTTCTAAAGCCCACCCATCCTGATATCTACCAGGCAATTCAAATCTTCCCGTAATTTGCCCAATTCTCGTATCTTTTGGGTAGACGGTGTCTGGTCCCACAGCCTTGAGACCACGCCCAAGAGCTCCGCAATCCGCAATCTCAGGTTCTGAAGCAAAGCATGTAGAAATGCAATGACATAGGCGTTCAACGGTGCAATGGTCGCATAAATCGCATTGTCGTTCTATACTAGGGATTGAGTCGGGCCGACGTATTGAGGCTTTCCGCGGTAGTGACTGACTTGGCAAATGAATGTTTTCCTCTACTACTCGAAATGGTCGTAGTAAATTTTGGAGGATGCCTAGGTCTGTCACTTCCTGGAGCTCATCTTCCCTCCAATTCTCAAATACATACTCTTTGAAATCACCATTCTGAATGGATGTCAGAAATTGACCTGCACCTTCTAATTGAGGTTTATGTTTTGAAAGCTGCTCGTGGAAAGCTGGAAGCAGTGGCTGCATTTGAGCGGTGGATTGGGAAATATATTTTTCGAACCGATTATCAAGACAAATGAAACAAAGCAACCCGGGATACGGTTCGCAGATATCTCGTAGTTTTCGACCACGTCGAATTTGATCGTTAAGTCGTTGTCGATTCTTTGGGTTACAGTTCCGTCCTTGGAAGCTTAGGATCTTTTGAATCTCGTCAGGATCAGCTCTTAATCGTGCGTTCTGGTCCTTCGTCGAGTCCAACTCTCCTGCCATCAGAACAAGGCCAAGCTCCTTCAAGAGTCGGGTAACATGAGATTTGTGCTCGAACGTATCGCTAAGAGCACCAAAACGCGATACTCTATGAAGTCGGTTCTCATTCTGTATTTGAGAATATTCCTTCCATGACAGACCAGCTTTCATAGTTCGGACCACTTGAAAGAAAGCAAGAAGTATTTCCTTGTCCTCCAAAGCTTTGAGGAGACTTTGCATTGAGAAGATGTCTGGGCTTGGGTTGGACTTTTTCGGTCGCTTGCTCCTCAGGTTGGTGGTGGTGGCTCTTCTCTTTTTACTGTTGGCCGTAGGTTGCAAATCTTGTGGTTCCTCCATTATTCCCCGCCTTGTGCTGCGTGCTCGCCTTTGGCTAGATTCTTCACCCGGCGGTGCCAAATCTACTGTTCTGTTTACTGTTCTTGCTGGCGATTGAGATATGGGTAGATCTTCTGTCTCAACGACTATTGGTTCGTTGCTAGCGCTGTGCTGGAGCCTAGTGATGACACCTTGACTCTGGTCGAGGATCTCTTGGCTTTCGTGAAAAATCTCTTGAAGTCCGGGAGGATAATTAGTTTGTTGTATGGATTGTATACGATCCACAAGAGATTGCAAGCGTTCTAATAGGCGTGACTCAAGGGTTTTCGCACGATATTCATTTCCTCTCTCAGGGTCATCAGAAGCTATAGGTACATCTGGTAGTCTGTGATAGGTAAAGATGTGGTCCTGAACCTCTTGGGATAGAACATGACAAAACGGGCATGTCTCATACGAATGGGCGGTGATTCGATGAGAATTCATAGACGACGCGGGTTGCAGTAAATGACAATCCGGACACTGCTGAGGATCATGTTGTTGTATGTGCTCTCCAACGGCCAGTTCGGAATGGATTTCGCCACAGAATTCGCAGCGTTGCCACAAATGTTCCGTAAGAAGATGATGCGACAGGCCTGTCGTGGTTTCATATATGCCGCAAACTGCACATTTTTCCGTCTGGTTATGGAATTCCTGTATATGATGTCTGAGTTCCTCAATGGTCCCTGTATCTTCGCAAAATGGGCATTGTTTGTGTCTGTGCTGTGTACTCAAATGTGCAAAAAATTGTTCTTCGGCAATATCCAGGGAACATTCAGGACATTGCCTTAATCGATGGTTATGTTCTTCCGCATCCGCAGCTGGCAGACCGCAGATATTACACTTCGACCAAGAATGAATAGAGTACAAGTGGTCGGAAAGTCGCTCCTCTTGTAGCTGTTGGAAGCATATCTGGCACTCCTTCCATTGGTGATCATTTTGAACATGATCATCGTCAATCCCCTCAATCGGACAACTCGGGCATCTTTGAAGTTCGTGCTCAACATAAAGATGGAGTACCCTTCCTGTTTCTATCATCAGACGACCACATATGGGACATGGTTTTGCAGGATGATATTTCCCAACATGTTCTAGAAAATCATCTTCGTTTGAATTGCATTCTCTGCATGCTTGCCAGTTATGGGTCGCAAGATGTGGTTCGATCGATTCGAAATCTATGGTACGAGAACATAAGGGACAAGAGACGGATGAGTGGTAATTGGCATCGCGGACATGTTCGTGTATGGTCGCCTCGTTGCAATAATCGCAGAATTGCCATTCGTGGGCTTGCGCTAAATGAGGAAGGACTTTCGCGTATTCGTTTTCGCAAATTGGACAACAATGGAAGGCCAAAACGTGATTCTTTAGGGCGCTGCGCTCCAGTGGTTCAATACAGAAACTGCATACCTCGTAGTCGTGTTGATTATAATGGTCACGGCGCTGCCGTGTACTAATTAGCTTGTCGCAAACAGAACATACACATAATTCATGAATTGAAACGTGTTTCTCAAAGTTCAGAACAGACATGACCATCTCACAGATGGGACATGCTTGAAAACCGTCCGGGAGTGGATTTGGAACGTGGAAGTGTTGTTCAGATCTGTTGATGTAGAAAGTTTGCGGGTAATGCTGGAAGCGACTAAATTCCGCGTCACAGTCCT